GGCCAGGCCTATCATTATCAAATGATCGGCATCAGATGGCACGCACCAGGGCTCAATGTAACTAGGTGGTGCCAATTTGGGCTTTTCACTGATGGTAGATATTTGTCGTATCGTCGCTTTGAATGGCCTTGGCAATTCCAAAATCAATCAGTTTTAGTGTCCCCTTCACAAACACAAAGTTTGCGGGCTTCAAGTCACCGTGGACAACTCTTGCTTCGTGGATACATTGCACGGCATTCAGCATTTGATACCACGTTAGCCTTATAAAGCTCATGTTCAAGCAGGGACTGGGATCTCGTCTGGACGAGGAAGAAGAAGATTGCTGCTGAAGCACATAGTTGAGGTCTGCTTCGCCCACTTCCATCACGACAAAGATTGCATTACGGCTTCGGTCGACTTGACTGTCATACATCTTGATGATGGCCGGATTGTCCTTCAGTCGCTGGAGCAATGCAATCTCATTCGCGTAGCCTTCAACAGCTTTCTCGTCCAAATCGGCTAGTTTCACCTTCTTGATGGCAACAACCGAGCAATCCTTGGTCAACGCCCGATACACCTTGCTCGAGCCACCTTTGCCAATTACTCCAAGCTTCACGTACGGCACATGGTTCACTTTGATGATGTTGTCTTCCGCTACAAGTGGCAGAAGCATTCTCGATTGGCCCGCTGCATGCCCACTTTGTCCCCCAAAGCAAAAAAAAAAAAAAATTTGGGGGGGGGGGGCCCCGTGAAACCCCCGAGGAAACTGGAGCAGTATGTGCCTCATTATTCCGTCCGGCAGACGACTGAGAACTGAAGCGAGAGGTGGCTTCAGAGAGTTGGGAGACTTCTGACGATGGTTCCACGTTTTGGGAACACGAATTTGTGGTGTTCTGAGATCCGCGAGAGACAGACATAGGCGGAGGAGCATTTGACCTACTTGACGCTTCTGGTTGTTGCGAGTCGCGAGATTTGTCTTTCTCAGCGGCAACTGACCCTTGCGGATGCCATTTCAGTATGTAGTCAAGGTCGATTCCACTTAGCTTAGGAGCTGTTTTCTGTTCCGTGGATGTCGAGTTCTCGCCGCCACATCCCTGTTCGACACTCTCATCACTGTCAGAGTCGTCGACAGCCACCTGGCCAATTCCAACTCGTTGCGCGCTGCCCCGCAAGCCAACGCGAGCCAAACGCGGCGTCTTAGATGGCAAAGGAGGTCTTGTGGGGTTGGCTACGTCTCCGTCGTTGCTGGCCGAGGCAATTCTCCTGACGATCTTTTGGTTGCTTTGGATTCGAGGAGACGCTGCAAGCGGCCCTCTAACTTGACGATTAGGAGTTTCGTTGAGGTTTCCCTTTGTCACCATCTCGGTTGCGGTCGGCAGTTTGCTCAAGACATTTTGATGAATTCTTGCGCCCTTGACACATTCGTTCCCATGGGCACTGTGAGCGATCGGTCTTTCCTGGTTTTGAATGAATACGGATATAGCCGAATGGCAGTCCATTGGCTTGACGTTTGAGGCTGGTGGAGTGGAGAATTGCGAAAGTGTCTTTGAAGACGGGCTTGGTTCTCGACTGTTGCTCAGATCGGCTAGTTTCGTGTCTTTGCCTCCAGGGGTGTATTCGTGCACACTCAGCTCTATTCGACGCCGTTTTCGGGGGCTTTCAACATTTGTCATTCGCTTTTTAGGAGATAACATAGTGGACATGGATGATCGCACGGTCGACGCGGACTCTGCCGACGGGGAAGACAAGGATTTCTGGTGGGTTGGTGCCAGTGTCGTTCTCTGGTTGGGGCAGTATTCTGAAGACTGTGTTTTGCATGGTCTGGAACGGCCTTTCTCGACCCCGTAAAAAGGAACTGAGTCTGTACCAGCAAGCTGACAGAGAGCGTCCTTCAACAGCGCCGAAGGTTGTGCATTCTGCTTTAGACCCAATTCGAGGATTTCTTTCGCTTTCAGTGGGTTGGACTTGCCCTCAAGCTCCGACAGAGCGACATAGATAAAAGCATCCGTCCCATGGAGGAATCTCTCACTAATCTGTCGCATTGTATTGCGATACTCTTGCTGTGAGCCAATATTGTTCAACAGCTTTGCATATGAAAGCCAAATGTGAAAAACATGTGACCGATCGTCAGGCTGCTCGCGCTCCATGGGAAACAAGGATATTGCTCGTCGATGAAGTTGTAGCAAACGCGTTGTTTCATTCGAACTAGAAGAGTCTGAGGGTTCTTTTCCTTGCTCATGTGACAGCTCCAGTACTTGTCTCCAGCCAGCAGCATTCGCTTGTGTTGCATTGACGAGTGAATTGCAGAATTGACGGTAAGTGTGGGAACTTCGATTGGTAATACCGAAAAGCGATTCTACGGTCTCCCCTCTCTTGAGAACATTCTGAACATATTTTCTATTCACTGTCGTCGGCTTGAGCGAGGAAGGTAGAAGACCAGAGGGGTCCTTTGGCATCTCCAAAGTCACAAGGGCAGAATGTTTCGGCTTCCCCGCAGCCGCTGGACCCACGGCAAATAATGATCGACCAGCTCGTGTCGTGGCATTGCTTGGAAATGAAAGTGGAGCTAGAACACCTCGACTGTCTCTCTCATTCTTCAGTTTATTCAAAGGTGCCAATGGACGGTTTTCCTTCTGCTGATTTCGCACAAAATCGCCACCCTCAGACGACGGGAAATCGCCTCTCTTGCGCCTAGATCGACCTAGAGGTGACCTCGCTTTCCCCTCTCTTTCCACTGGGAGCTTTGATGTTGGAAGAGGTGGAATAACGAATGCCTTCCCACCTCGCCTCCTGGGTACTTGATTGTCCATTGTCCACTTCGAATGAATGAATGAATAAATAGGTTGAGAATAATTTGTGAGCGTTGTTTTGAGGCGCAAAAAAGCCCGGAATTCAAATGTGTCCCGGAAGTGAATCCCGGTTAGAGATTCGGAAGAGCCATTAGACTATACTAGCTACCAGGTAGCACAATTTCCCTTTTATTTTATTTTCGTGCATGCCGGTCATTTTTCGTTAATTTTTGCTACGGAGAATAATACCCCATTGGCATGCATGCATGCACTCATCCACCCATCCACCAACGAAGAGACACCCACAGTGACCCCTCCCAAGGCTAACCTACAGTCAAAGCAACGCTCATCGTAAACGGTGAGAAACAAAACAACCATAAAAGACCGCGCTGCAACATTAGAATGGCTGAAGAAGGCAGGGCCAAGCTAGATTTGGAGGATGATGATGCCTCCTCTGGCGACGACGCGGGAGGCAAAGGAACCAAGCGGAAAGATCCCGGCAACGATCCGGAGGCCGAAGAAAGCAAACGGGCGGAGCGCCGTGCAGCCAACCGACGAAGTGCTTTTCAATCTCGCCAGCGTAGAAAGATCCTGATCGAAGACTTGCAAAAGACTGTTGCCACCCTATCAAAAGAGAACACTGATCTTCGCCAACAACAATCAACTCCGTGCCAAACTGGAGACGGCAATGTTAGAGAATCAGTTATTAAGAAAACAGAAAGGAGGAACTGCACCTACACTCGAAATCAATGGTGATTCTGGTGTAGCTGATGGTGCTGCAGCAGGTGATTCTATTAATGCTGGTCCGTCTACCGACGAAAAGATCCCAGCAGGTGCCACTGCATCTGCCGGCACTAACAATCAAACTCAAGGAGCCACAGTCGCCACAGCCAGCAATGCACAGACAGTGGATAATGCTCCAGCACCGCCTGCAAATAATGGAGTTTTGGGTTCCAACAACCAGGTTGGGGTCCCCGCTGCTGCAGCGCTGTTGGCGCTAAATGGTGGGGGTAATACCAACGGAGCTCCACCGTCCCAACTCTTGGGCACACAAGCACCTTCTACGGCTGCACATCTATTATCAAATCAAGCGGTTCCTGCGGCTCAACTGATGAACGGGCTGCATTCCCTCCCCGGAGCCAACCCAGCGTCCGACCCTCTATTGGCTGCAAGATTGGCACTTGCCGGGGCTTCCGGTGGTTTGGGCAATTTGAACAATGTTGGGAATCCTGCTGTCATGCCAGGTGCTAGTCAGCAACAGCCAAATCATGCCGTTCATGCGCTGGCAGTAAATCCGGCGAATCTCGGGCTTGGGGGAGGACAGCAGCTGCAACAACTTGCTATGCTGTTGGGTGGGGCGGTAGCGAGACCAGGACCCAGGACAAACAGCACGTTTGCACTCTTGCAGGCAGCTTTTGGAAGGTCTATTGCAGCTGCTTCAGCACCAACAACTGCTGCCCAAGCGACTCGATGTGCTCAGGTCATGCGGGACTTTCCGAAAACCAAGCATCAGATCAACAAAATGGGGCTGCGCCCACCACGTAACAGAATTGTTGGAGTCGAGGCGCGTGTTGTGAGTAGGAGATGCATTTGATGCAATGCAAACCATCCACTACGTCTGTAAGGCAGGTTGCAACACTTGGGGCTAACGATACTCATTGCAACAGGACGAGAATTGCATGAGAAGCAGCATTTCTTTGCATTTAAGTAAAAGTGTACTGATAGTATTTTTGTGTCTGTAGTGGACTTTATCATATTCCATGACGTGTGGTGCAGCGTCTCCATTATAATTCAGTGGGCAGACAAGTAGATCTACTCTGGCCCCCAATTTGATTTTTGCTAGTTAACTAGGAGCTAATATACGGTATCAGCAACTGTACGATTACCGCTGTAGCTCCACACATGAAAATCATTCCCATGCCCAAAATACTAGTATCGATACACCGAAGTTAGACAAGGAAGGTCTTCTGTTGGACCGGTACAGGACCGTCCGACGGTTTTCACATCAGGAATTTAACTTCCATGACGTACAAAACTGACAGCACAATTAAGGATTGATTCTTAAAGGATTGTTTAAGGGAGAGTAAAGATTTAAGGGATTGTTGTTAAGGGATTGTTTATTTAAGGATTGGTTTAGGGGATAGTTGAAGAAATAGGTGATAGTGTATGGTATTTCCATTGTGCGTCTAAGGGTTGTTTAGGGGATAGTCTGAGAGTTAAGTGATTTAGGATTTCAGTTTAAGGGATTGTTTCTGTTAAGGGAATTTATTAGATGTTGAAGTGGATTGTTTAAGGGATTGTTTTAAACGGTCAGTCAGTCGTGGCAATTTCAAGATTTTTTAAATCCTGTGTGAAAACCGTCGGACGGTCCAGGTTGCTGCAGATACTGGACCAGTTTCCAAGAACTTTCTAGCTACATGTACTCTCGATAGTACCGGTAGAGAGGGGCCCACTCAAGCAGTCAGCGGACAAAACTACTAGCTAGTAGATTGAGACTTTTTTTGAAGATTGTCTACTACTACTGGACCTCTGTGGAAACTCGAGTCGTGCTACCGTTCGTCTCCTAAATCCTTTTTTCGTCTCCTATTTAATGGATTTCGTCTCCTAAAAATAGGAGACGAAACGGATCGTCTCTTAAATCTTTCGTCTCTCCTTAAATCGTCTCCTATTTCAACGGATCGTCTCCTATTTCTCAACGGATCGTCTCTCTAAGTGTACCATGTAAACTGTATGGTATCGTCTCCTAAATCTTTTGGATCGTCTCCTATTTCGAAACGTTCCGTCTCCTAATTGGAATGTCTCCTGCTGAATCGTCTCCTAAATATAGACGACGATTGCTTTCGTCTCTTAAATCATTTTGATCGTCTCCTATGCCTCGGTGCATTGTCTGTTAAGTATTTTTCCACGAATGACGTTGTCCACAGAGGTCCTGTAATACTAATATACACGTACTAGCATAGTAGAGGTTGTGGAAAGGGGAGTTGTATGACTGGTGGGACTTACCCTGTATCAAGTAGTGCAGTTCGCCCACTTGGCTTAATATGGCTATCCTTTATGGGGTATGTACCCCAGCTTTGCGGGTATTCTGCCGGGAAAACAAGGACATTTGAGGGTATCCGAACTACTAAAATCGCATTGGTAGTTGCATCGTGTCCTCAAAATACAACTTTTGCGCTAAGTACTTCAATCGTGCTACAAATACAACCTAGTCACACACAAAGTTCTGCGAAATCAAGACTTAACGATCCGGAACTCTCTCTTTGTAATGAGCAGAAGTGGTAAACTCCAAGATCCCCCGATTCAACTGCGTATCCCGTGAGTACGCTGACTTGGCCGTTGGATGGAGTCAGTCGATTTTCAGTTTTCCTCTCCAAATTTCCCATAAATTTCGATGGAGGCACTCTTTCAGTGAAAGCCATGCTATTTTACTCGAAGAAACTCTCGCTACTCTCGCTACTCTCGCTATTTTGTCTACTTACTCTTTTGTTTTCAACCTCCACAATGGCGAGGAAGCGCAAGTCACTCGATCAGCAGTACCGGCCGCCGTTGCCAGGTTTATGGGTTGGAAGCATGGTTGTCACTATAATAACAGGAAGAACTTTACACAGGTATGTCACTCCTTCGCTCCTTCGCCAAATCGCTCCACGATTTCACTCTGCTGCTCGCTCACACCATGGTAGCTCTTCTTCATTTTTCTTCAGGAGGAGTTCCTAGCCATTACACCCACTGATGTCGCCCAGTTCCTCAACTTCCTTGCCTATGGAAAGATCAACCCAGGGCCAATGACCGCCCCACCCACAAGAGATCTACCACTCTTGAACAATACAAGAAGGCCATCAGCCACTTCCATCCGAACCGCCACGCATCATGGGCTGTTGGTCCCAATGTTGGGAATCCCACTCGATCCAGGGTTGTCAATGAAGTGATCAAAGCTGTAAAGAAGGCTGAGGTCAGGAAGCAGGGCAGGAAATCCAATGTCAAGAGGGATCTCAAGATCCGGGAATTCCGCAAAGACCATTCGCATTGTGGAACGCGATGGAGGAGCGAACATTGACACGACGATCAAGATCCCAAACATGTTGAAGGTTCAGTTTCACTTGATGGTCCGCACTGATGATTTGACCAACATGGAGATTGGATCTGCGCAGCCACTCCAAGTTTCCAAACTTCGCTCTTGAAACCAAGGTATCCTGGAGCAAGAATGTCCAGGAGGAGCGTGCTTGCCCGAACCAAATCCTGCTGGGTGCCGCTGACCCTGACTTTTGCGTCCTGATTGCCTTGGCTATTTGGATCGAGACTCGTCTTGAGAGGGGACACGGTGATCCCAAGTTTCTGTTTGGCCATTACCGTGTCGACGATGAAGAAGCGTTCCTTGCCGCCATCGAAGCTCTGGACAACGACGAAGAGCTCGATGAGACGACGATTGAGACGGAGCCTGACCGAGTCAACGCCTGGTACCAACGGGCTTGAAGAAGGCTTGAAAGGACCCAGAGTTCGTGGAGCTTGCGGCTCAAGTCCAGGGAAGCCTTGGTACCCACATTGTGCACAAGTTGCCTCCAACCTACGCTGCTGAGTGTGGGATTACCCAGTCCGAGAATGGACTCGTGGTCGCTGGAAGGGAGAGAAGAATGGACACATTTTCCATGTCTACATCAACCTGGAGCAGTTCCACCGACGCCAAGGTTGCTGGAACGCTTGCTGTTGGTGGTCCGTCAAGTACAGCATCAAGGCCAACAGTGGAGTGGACCATGTGTTCATCGGTGAGCATGTCTGTCCGAAGATTTGTGACTTCTTCGCTGACGACCCAAGCAACAACATCGCCATGGTGCTTGGTCCAGCCTTGCTTTGGGCTGCGATGGACCTGGCTTGGAGCATATGATGACGGCTGAGATTCGCAACCGCATCCAGACGGAGTATGCCCAGCTTCGAACCACTTTGGATGAGGATCCAGGGGCCGACTACAACCCAGTGGCCAAAATCCCTCTCACAATCTACAAGGTAGCCAATGCTTTGCACATTACTGAGTTGGCTCCCACCGCCCAGGTCCAAGCTGGTGCTGAGCCCTTGGTTGTGAGGTGCTCCTGGTGGTGCGCACATGGAACAGCTCAACCAATTGCTTGCTCTCCAACATAGGACTCAGCAGGCGATCGAGGAGGCCCAGCAGATCTTGGCACAGGACATCAGCTCATTGAGGAGCTATGTCTCGACCAACATTGCCATTGTCAACAAGAATATTGGGAGGATCAACCACTTCCAGTGATCGCGAGGGGTGGTGGCAAGATGCTCAAGGCTTCCTCTTCCTGGTGCGGTCGGTGGAGCTGGCGGCGGTGGGGTGGACTGGCGGCGAGGTGCTGCTGCGGCGGGCGGAGGACTTCCCACCACCACCAATACCAAGAGTCCTGGGCGTTTGTGCAATACACGGCTCTTAGCCTTATTCGCGACTCGATCTAGATAGGGTTTTGAGTTCGACTCATGACTGAGTCCTTCGTGAATAGTCATTGAGACAGGGTTCTCAATGACCGCTAGTCAAACTAGGTCGATGGTGAAACATCCGCTAGATATTAAGCTGGCGTGGAGAGATTCAACGCTACTAGATAAATGCTAGACGAATCTTCCACGCGTTCCGTTTTGGAATCGTGGAGTGAGTAGGATCGCTACCGCAACCTACTCTATCACACTCTACAGTCTCCCGCGGGAGTTCAGATCTACGATCCTTTGGATTGTGGATCTCTCTCGTTGATTAGTTTTCATAGCTTTCTAATCCTCTCATAACTTTCATTCTCTCAAACTCAAACACTCAAAAGATCCACAATCAAGGAACTCGTAGATCTGAACTCCCGCGGGAGACTATTAGGTGTGATAGAGTAGGTTGCGGTAGCGCCATCGCTACTCAACTGCCACACGATCCAAGAAACGGAACGCCGTGAAAGTTCGCTAGCATTTATCTAGTAGCGTGGAATCTCTCCACGCCAGCTAAATATCTAGCGCGATGTTTCACCATCGACCTAGTATGACTAGAGCGGTCAATTGAGAACCCTGTTCCAAATGACTATTCACGAAGACTCAGTCCCATGAGTCGAACTCAAACCCTATCTAGGATCGAGTCGCGAATAAGGCTAAGAGCCGTGTATTGCACAAACGCCCAGGACTCCTTGGTATTGGTGGTGGTGGGGGAAGTCCTCCGCCCGCCGCAGCAGCACCTCGCCGCCAGCTCCACCACCACCGCCGCCAGCTCCACCGACCGCACCAGGAAGAGGAAGCCTTTGAGCATCATTGCCACCACCCCTCGCGAATAACTGGAAGTGGTTGATCCTCCCAATATTCTTGTTGACAATGGCAATGTTGGTCGAGACATAGCTCCTCAATGAGCTGATGTCCTGTGCCAAGATCTGCTGGGCCTCCTCGATCGCCTGCTGAGTCCTATGTTGGAGAGCAAGCAATTGGTTGAGCTGTTCGACATTGATGCCACCACCAGCACCACCTCCAACCAAGGGCTCAGCGCCAGCTTGGGCCTGGGCGGTGGGAGCCAACTCAGTAATGTGCAAAGCATTGGCTACCTTGTAGATTGTGAGAGGGATTTTGGCCACTGGGTTGTAGTCGGCCCCTGGATCCTCATCCAAAGTGGTTCGAAGCTGGGCATACTCCGTCTGGATGCGGTTGCGAATCTCAGCCGTCATCATATGCTCTAAGCCAGGTTCCATCGCAGCCCAAAGCAAGGCTGGACCAAGCACCATGGCGATGTTGTTGCTTGGGTCGTCAGCGAAGAAGTCACACATCTTCGGACAGACATGCTCACCGATGAACCCATGGTCCACTCCACTGTTGGCCTTGATGCTGTACTTGACGGGACCACCAACAGCAAGCGTTCCAGCAACCTTGGCGTCGGTGGGAAGCTGCTCCAGGTTGATGTACACATGGACGATGTGTCCATTCTTCTCTCCCTTCCAGCGACCCCGAGTTTCATTCTCGGACTGGGTAATCCCACACTCAGCAGCGTAGGTTGGAGGCAACTTGTGCACAATGTGGGTACCAAGGCTTCCCTGGACTTGAGCCGCAAGCTCCACGAACTCTGGGTCCTTTCAAGCCTTCTTCCAAGCCCGTTGGTACCAGGCGTTGACTCGGTCAGGCTCCGTCTCAATCGTCGTCTCATCGAGCTCTTCGTCGTTGTCCAGAGCTTCGATGGCGGCAAGGAACGCTTCTTCATCGTCGACACGGTAATGGCCAAACAGAAACTTGGGATCACCGTGTCCCCTCTCAAGACGAGTCTCGATCCAAATAGCCAAGGCAATCAGGACGCAAAAGTCAGGGTCAGCGGCATCCAGCATGATTTGGTTCGGGCAAGCACGCTCCTCCTGGACATTCTTGCTCCAGGATACCTTGGTTTCAAGAGCGAAGTTTGGAAACTTGGAGTGGCTGCGCAGATCCAAAGTCTCCATGTTGGTCAAATCATCAGTGCGGCCAATCAAGTGAAACTGAACCTTCAACATGGTTGGGATCTTGATCGTCGTATCAATGTTCGCTCCTCCATCGCGTTCCACAATGCGAATGGTCTTGTGGAATTCCCGGATCTTGAGATCCCTCTTGACATTGGATTTCCTGCCCTGCTTCCTGACCTCAGCCTTCTTTACAGCTTTGATCACTTCATTGACAACCCTGGATCGAGTGGGATTCCCAACATTGGGACCAACAGCCCATGATGCGTGGCGGTTCGGATGGAAGTGGCTGATTGCCTTCTTGTATTGTTCAAGAGTGGTAGATCTCTTGTGGGTGGGGCGGTCATTGGGCCCTGGGTTGATCTTTCCATAGGCAAGGAAGTTCAGGAACTAGGCGACATCAGTGGGTGTAATGGCTAGGAACTCCTCCTGAAGAAAAATGAAGAAGAGCGACCATGGTGTGAGCGAGCAGCAGAGTGAAATCGTGGAGCGATTTGGCGAAGGAGCGAAGGAGTGACATACCTGTGTAAAGTTCTTCCTGTTATTATAGTGACAACCATGCTTCCAACCCATAAACCTGGCAACGGCCGGCCGGTACTGCTGATCGAGTGACTTGCACTTCCTCGCCATTGTGGAGGTTGAAAACAAAAGAGCAAGTAGACAAAATAGCGAGAGTAGCGAGAGTAGCGAGAGTTTCTTCGAGTAAAATAGCATGGCTTTCACTGAAAGAGTGCCTCCATCGAAATTTATGGGAAATTTGGAGAGGAAAACTGATCGGAGGTACTCCTTCCCAACGGCCAAGCCACCGTACCTGGGATACGGCAGTTGAATCAGAGGGGATCTTTGGGAGTTTACCCTCTCTCAATACAAAGAGAGAGGTTCCGGATCGTTAAGTCTTTGAGTTTCGCGGAACGATGAGTGCGATTGTGTGTGACTAGGTTGTATTTTAGGCACGATTGCCAAAAAGATACTTAGGCAAAAGTTGTATTTTGGGGTTGCCGATGCAACTACCAATGCGATTTTCAGTAGCATTGAATACCCTCAAATGACTGGTTTTCCCCAGCAGAATACCCTCGCAAAGCTTGTGGTAGTACCATACCCCAATAAAGGATACCCATACTTAAGCCTAAGTAGGGGCGAACTCACTACTATGACTACAGGGTAAGTCCCACCAGTCGATACAACTCCCCCTTTCCACATACCCTCTACTATGCTAGTACGGTTGTATATTAGTAATACAGGACCTCTGTGGAAACGTCATTCGTGGAAAAATACTTAACAGACAATGCACCGAGGCATAGGAGACGATCAAAATGATTTAAGAGACGAAAGCAATCGTCTCCTATATTTAGGAGACGATTCAGCAGGAGACATTCCAATTAGGAGACGATCGTTTCGAAATAGGAGACGATCCAAAAGATTTAGGAGACGATACCATACAGTTTACATGGTGCACTTAGGAGACGATCCGTTGAGAATAGGAGACGATCCGTTGAAAATAGGAGACGATTTAAGAGGAGACGAAAGATTTAAGAGACGATCCGTTTCGTCTCCTATTTTTAGGAGACGAAATCCATTAAATAGGAGACGAAAAAAGGATTTAGGAGACGATCGGTAGCACGACTCGAGTTTCCACAGAGGTCCAGTAGTAGTAGACAATCTCTAAAAAAAGTCTCAATCTACTAGCTAGTAGTTTTGTCCGCTGACTTGCTTGAGTGGGCCCCTCTCTACCGGTACTATCGAGAGTACATGTAGCTAGAAAGTTCTTGGAAACTGGTCCAGTATCTGCAGCAACCTGGACCGTCCGACGGTTTTCACACAGGATTTAAAAAATCTTGAAATTGCCACGACTGACTGACCGTTTAAAACAATCCCTTAAACAATCCCTTAACTCATCAACTATCCCTTAAACAATCCCTTAAAGAAACAATCCCTTAAAACAATCCCTTAAATCTTGGACTATCCCCTAAACAACCCCCTAACGCCAAATGGAAATACCATACAACTATCCCCTATTTCTTCAACTATCCCCTAAACAATCCCTTAAATAAACAATCCCTTAACAACAATCCCTTAAAGCTTTGACTCTCCCTTAAACAATCCCTTAAGAAACAATCCCTTAATTGTGCTGGTCAAGTTTTTTGTCAGTCATGGAAGCTTTTTAAATCCTGAGTGAAAACCGTCGGACGGTCCTGTACCGGTACCAACAGAAGACCTTCCTTGGCTAACTTCGGTGTATCGATACTAGTATTTTGGGCATGGGAATGATTTTCATGTGTGGAGCTACAGCGGTAATCGTACAGTTGCTGATACCGTATATTAGCTCCTAGTTAACTAGCAAAAATCAAATTGGGGGCCAGAGTAGATCTACTTGTCTGCCCACTGAATTATAATGGAGACGCTGCACCACACGTCATGGAATATGATAAAGTCCACTACAGACACAAAAATACTATCAGTACACTTTTACTTAAATGCAAAGAAATGCTGCTTCTCATGCAATTCTCGTCCTGTTGCAATGAGTATCGTTAGCCCCAAGTGTTGCAACCTGCCTTACAGACGTAGTGGATGGTTTGCATTGCATCAAATGCATCTCCTACTCACAACACGCGCCTCGACTCCAACAATTCTGTTACGTGGTGGGCGCAGCCCCATTTTGTTGATCTGATGCTTGGTTTTCGGAAAGTGCCCGCATGACCTGAGACATCGAGTCGCTTGGGGCAGCAGTTGTTGGTGCTGAAGCAGCTGCAATAGACCTTCCAAAAGCTGCCTGCAAGAGTGCAAACTGCTGTTGTCCTGGGTCTGCTGGTCTCGCTACCGCCCCACCCAACAGCATAGCAAGTTGTTGCAGCTGCTGTCCTCCCCCAAGCCCGAGATTCGCCGGATTTACTGCCAGCGCATGAACGGCATGATTTGGCTGTTGCTGACTAGCACCTGGCATGACAGCAGGATTCCCAACATTGTTCAAATTGCCCAAACCACCGGAAGCCCCGGCAAGTGCCAATCTTGCAGCCAATAGAGGGTCGGACGCTGGGTTGGCTCCGGGGAGGGAATGCAGCCCGTTCATCAGTTGAGCCGCAGGAACCGCTTGATTTGATAATAGATGTGCAGCCGTAGAAGGTGCTTGTGTGCCCAAGAGTTGGGACGGTGGAGCTCCGTTGGTATTACCCCCACCATTTAGCGCCAACAGCGCTGCAGCAGCGGGGACCCCAACCTGGTTGTTGGAACCCAAAACTCCATTATTTGCAGGCGGTGCTGGAGCATTATCCACTGTCTGTGCATTGCTGGCTGTGGCGACTGTGGCTCCTTGGGTTTGATTGTTAGTGCCGGCAGATGCAGTGGCACCTGCTGGGATCTTTTCGTCGGTAGACGGACCAGCATTAATAGAATCCCCTGCTGCAGCACCATCAGCTACACCAGAATCACCATTGATTTCGAGTGTAGGTGCAGTTCCTCCTTTCTGTTTTCTTAATAACTGATTCTCTAACATTGCCGTCTCCAGTTTGGCACGGAGTTGATTGTTGTTGTTGCGAAGATCAGTGTTCTCTTTTGATAGGGTGGCAACAGTCTTTTGCAAGTCTTCGATCAGGATCTTTCTACGCTGGCGAGATTGAAAAGCACTTCGTCGGTTGGCTGCACGGCGCTCCGCCCGTTTGCTTTCTTCGGCCTCCGGATCGTTGCCGGGATCTTTCCGCTTGGTTCCTTTGCCTCCCGCGTCGTCGCCAGAGGAGGCATCATCATCCTCCAAATCTAGCTTGGCCCTGCCTTCTTCAGCCATTCTAATGTTGCAGCGCGGTCTTTTATGGTTGTTTTGTTTCTCACCGTTTACGATGAGCGTTGCTTTGACTGTAGGTTAGCCTTGGGAGGGGTCACTGTGGGTGTCTCTTCGTTTGGTGGATGGGTGGATGGAGTGATGCATGCATGCCAGTGGGGTGATGTTCTCCGTAGCAAAATTAACGAAAATGACCGCATGCCACGAAAATAAAATAAAAAGGGAAATTGAGCTACCTGGTAGCTAGTTATAGTCTAAATGGCTCTTCCGAATCTCTAACCGGGATTCACTTCCGGGACACATTTGAATTCCGGGCTTTTTTGCGCCTCAAAACAACGCTCACAAATAATTATTCTCAACCTATTTATTCATTCATTCATTCGAAGTGGACAATGGACAATCAAGTACCCAGGAGGCGAGGTGGGAAGGCATTCGTTATTCCACCTCTTCCAACATCAAAGCTCCCAGTGGAAAGAGAGGGGAAAGCGAGGTCACCTCTAGGTCGATCTAGGCGCAAGAGAGGCGATTTCCCGTCGTCTGAGGGTGGCGATTTTGTGCGAAATCAGCAGAAGGAAAACCGTCCATTGGCACCTTTGAATAAACTGAAGAATGAGAGAGACAGTCGAGGTGTTCTAGCTCCACTTTCATTTCCAAGCAATGCCACGACACGAGCTGGTCGATCATTATTTGCCGTGGGTCCAGCGGCTGCGGGGAAGCCGAAACATTCTGCCCTTGTGACTTTGGAGATGCCAAAGGACCCCTCTGGTCTTCTACCTTCCTCGCTCAAGCCGACGACAGTGAATAGAAAATATGTTCAGAATGTTCTCAAGAGAGGGGAGACCGTAGAATCGCTTTTCGGTATTACCAATCGAAGTTCCCACACTTACCGTCAATTCTGCAATTCACTCGTCAATGCAACACAAGCGAATGCTGCTGGCTGGAGACAAGTACTGGAGCTGTCACATGAGCAAGGAAAAGAACCCTCAGACTCTTCTAGTTCGAATGAAACAACGCGTTTGCTACAACTTCATCGACGAGCAATATCCTTGTTTCCCATGGAGCGCGAGCAGCCTGACGATCGGTCACATGTTTTTCACATTTGGCTTTCATATGCAAAGCTGTTGAACAATATTGGCTCACAGCAAGAGTATCGCAATACAATGCGACAGATTAGTGAGAGATTCCTCCATGGGACGGATGCTTTTATCTATGTCGCTCTGTCGGAGCTTGAGGGCAAGTCCAACCCACTGAAAGCGAAAGAAATCCTCGAATTGGGTCTAAAGCAGAACGCACAACCTTCGGCGCTGTTGAAGGACGCTCTCTGTCAGCTTGCTGGTACAGACTCAGTTCCTTTTTACGGGGTCGAGAAAGGCCGTTCCAGACCATGCAAAACACAGTCTTCAGAATACTGCCCCAACCAGAGAACGACACTGGCACCAACCCACCAGAAATCCTTGTCTTCCCCGTCGGCAGAGTCCGCGTCGACCGTGCGATCATCCATGTCCACTATGTTATCTCCTAAAAAGCGAATGACAAATGTTGAAAGCCCCCGAAAACGGCGTCGAATAGAGCTGAGTGTGCACGAATACACCCCTGGAGGCAAAGACACGAAACTAGCCGATCTGAGCAACAGTCGAGAACCAAGCCCGTCTTCAAAGACACTTTCGCAATTCTCCACTCCACCAGCCTCAAACGTCAAGCCAATGGACTGCCATTCGGCTATATCCGTATTCATTCAAAACCAGGAAAGACCGATCGCTCACAGTGCCCATGGGAACGAATGTGTCAAGGGCGCAAGAATTCATCAAAATGTCTTGAGCAAACTGCCGACCGCAACCGAGATGGTGACAAAGGGAAACCTCAACGAAACTCCTAATCGTCAAGTTAGAGGGCCGCTTGCAGCGTCTCCTCGAATCCAAAGCAACCAAAAGATCGTCAGGAGAATTGCCTCGGCCAGCAACGACGGAGACGTAGCCAACCCCACAAGACCTCCTTTGCCATCTAAGACGCCGCGTTTGGCTCGCGTTGGCTTGCGGGGCAGCGCGCAACGAGTTGGAATTGGCCAGGTGGCTGTCGACGACTCTGACAGTGATGAGAGTGTCGAACAGGGATGTGGCGGCGAGAACTCGACATCCACGGAACAGAAAACAGCTCCTAAGCTAAGTGGAATCGACCTTGACTACATACTGAAATGGCATCCGCAAGGGTCAGTTGCCGCTGAGAAAGACAAATCTCGCGACTCGCAACAACCAGAAGCGTCAAGTAGGTCAAATGCTCCTCCGCCTATGTCTGTCTCTCGCGGATCTCAGAACACCACAAATTCGTGTTCCCAAAACGTGGAACCATCGTCAGAAGTCTCCCAACTCTCTGAAGCCACCTCTCGCTTCAGTTCTCAGTCGTCTGCCGGACGGAATAATGAGGCACATACTGCTCCAGTTTCCTCGGTCGTCCCCATTGCTGACAAGTGGGCAGCACGGGCCAATCGAGACTTTCTGCCACTTGTAGCGGAAGATAACATCATCAAAGTGAACCATGTGCCGTACGTGAAGCTTGGAGTAATTGGCAAAGGTGGCTCGAGCAAGGTGTATCGGGCGTTGACCAAGGATTGCTCGGTTGTTGCCATCAAGAAGGTGAAACTAGCCGATTTGGACGAGAAAGCTGTTGAAGGCTACGCGAATGAGATTGCATTGCTCCAGCGACTGAAGGACAATCCGGCCATCATCAAGATGTATGACAGTCAAGTCGACCGAAGCCGTAATGCAATCTTTGTCGTGATGGAAGTGGGCGAAGCAGACCTCAACTATGTGCTTCAGCAGCAATCTTCTTCTTCCTCGTCCAGACGAGATCCCAGTCCCTGCTTGAACATGAGCTTTATAAGGCTAACGTGGTATCAAATGCTGAATGCCGTGCAATGTATCCACGAAGCAAGAGTTGTCCACGGTGACTTGAAGCCCGCAAACTTTGTGTTTGTGAAGGGGACACTAAAACTGATTGATTTTGGAATTGCCAAGGCCATTCAAAGCGACGATACGACAAATATCTACCGTGAAAGCCAAATTGGCACCCTTAGTTACATGAGTCCCGGTGCGTGCCCATCATGATGCCATCATGATAATGATAGGCCTGCCACTCACATTTCGCTCTTTCCTGCATCTGCTTCCCAGAGGCAATCATGGGAACTGAACCGACCGAGTCGGGGGGAGACAAGAAATTCAAATGCGGAAGGGTAAGGTCCCTTCTCTGCTTTCTTCCGTTTTACTGTATCATTCATTGCTAACCCTTCCTTGGTTCATTTCATGTTAGCCTTCTGACATCTGGTCTCTGGGTATCATTCTCTATCAACTAGTGTATGGACGCACGCCATTTGGGGACCTTCATTTGATTCAAAAGTTGCGGGCCATAGTCGATCCCTCCCATAAGTTGAAGTTTCCTGACCACGTTGACGAAGCCGCAATCGACGTAATGAAGCAGTGTTTAAGACGAGAGCCCAAAGACAGACCTCGAATAGTGGGGGGAAACGGTCTTCTGAGCCACCGATTCTTGAAGTAAGGTTGAGATTACCGTACAACGATATGCAATGCTCGAAGTGATCACCAATGACGGTTGTATCCTGTGTTCGCACCCTAGGTACCGGTACAGTATAATGTACTACCGTAGCACATGTCCAAATATGTATACCGGTATATCAACTATTAATAGAACATCATCTTGACCTTGTCGGTACACCATACAGCCTGCAGTACGGTGGTGATCCACAGTTGTTCCTTCCTCGTCCTGCACCAACCCTTTGGGACGCCTTGTCACTCTTGAAAGTTGACACTTAGCAGCTTCGCCGTCTTCTTAAAATTTGGCTTGCGCTGTCGCAAAACAACAACCGTTTTCACTCACTCGACTTCATTTTGCCGAACCACGAAGAACAATCCCCTTCTCATTAGAAAGAGGCAGAACGTTGCATTGCCTTGAAAGTCCCATTGTCGCCTTGGCTATTGCGCTGGATTACGCTACGCTCAACAATGTCGTTCCAAGACATGGGCAAGTCTTCCAGGGCTGGTGGTGGTTCGTCTCCAAAGCAATCGTTTGGAGGAGCACCGTCATCGAGAGGAAATGCGTTGACTCAGATCAGTGAGGGTCTCAACCAGTATCAGGTACTGTATCGTGTGTAGTGATGTTATTTACTGCCCCTCGCATCAACTATCTGATTCTTTGCCTTTTCTCAGCGCAATGTTGGAATTCTGGAGAAAATTGTGCAGCAATTGGGACTCATTCGAAGGCAAGGCGGTGGAAGCGCCGTGACTGAACTTCAGATGCAGTACGACGTTCAGATTGATGTGGTAAAACAATTGGAACAACGAGTAGAACAGCAGTTGAACAGTGCGCAGTCAGGGCTCCCTCAGATTGTAAAGCTGAAGCGTGATTTCCAGCGCGTTCAAACTCGTGTCAAGACTCTGCAATCAGATGTGCAAAGAATGAAAGAAGCAGCAAAAGCGGCACCGCGTTCTACTGGTGCTGACCCATACGGCGGAGGCCCGTCACCTTATGGCGCTCACGGCACGGATGCAGCAGGAACACAGCAGCAGCAACTACAAATGCAACAAGATGTAGGACTCCTCCGTGCTCATTCGATGACAATTGTCTTGCATGACTCACATCTTGTTCGCTTCCCCCCACTAGCAGCGACTGGCAGAAGAGATCATGAGGGAGCGAGAAGCAGAAATTAGAAATATCAATCAAGGGATGCATCAGGTTAACGAAATTTACAAGGATTTGGCTCACATTGTTGGCAGTCAGCAGGAACAAATCGACACAATCGAAACACAAATGGAGGAATCACGGGCGAATGCGGAGCAAGGGCTCAAACAGGTAGAGAAGGCCAACGAAAAATATGGCAATTCTCAATGCATTATTTCCTAGCTCGATTTGGATTTGATTTGGATCAATTCCGCATAGCCCCCGCTTGTTCAAACAAAAAATGACAATCTGCAAAAAACAAAAGACAACAAAACCTCCGATCGGCAGGAGAAGATGAACTGTTTGCTCTATGCTGCCGCAGTTCAACCCTGGTTGTTCCATCCCAGTGATTTTCTACACTTGCTTATGTTGGCCGTCCCGTAACCACTAGTTTAAATAGATAGAATGGAGTTGCTCCAAGCAAACCCAGGCAGGTTGTTCCTCGTCGCTCGTTTCTGTTTTGTTTCCCTGTCAAGCTTCTCAAGCCAAGACATTGCTTGTGAAACGTTGTTGGTGTCTCGGATTCTTGGGAATGAAATTGTTCTCGCAACGGTACTTGGTAAAATTTCAGGCTGGATGTCTTCGCAGAGCTGATGCCAATCAAAGGGATGTCGGGTGTCCGTCTTGGCAGCTTCGGTCCAGGCTTCAAAATACTTCAAGTAATTTGTGGACCGCTCAGGTTGAGCTGATATCTACCAGTACATACATAGCTAGAGGAGCAATTCTTTGCCACTGAGGACGCACAGAATGTCGGCCCAACAGTTTGATGCCCCCGCCATTCAGTCCTGGTGCAAGCATTTCACCTTTTTTGATTCAGCAAAGTGCATGCTTTGTAACTCAGCTTGGGACCTGATGCAGCTGCACATTGCCGCAGCGGATGCTACTGAACCCATTCGTCAATTCTGTCTTGACTTGACAAACGATAGACTAGCTAGTAATTAGTGTTTTGCCCTCTTGCCCTTTGGGTCCCATCAAGGTTTGCACTCCGTCTCATCTTGTTTCACTGACTTCTTGCAGATACCGGTCTTTGAATATCTCTGCCCCAGCAGTGATTTCTCTGCAGAGGCATGAACCTCTGCCTACATCGTGTCCTGTGGTCTCTCCGCACATCCAAGGCACCGGAGAGAAAAGCCTAGCTGGCTACGGTACCGGTAGAGTGAGCAGACCTACTAGCTAGCTAGCTACTCGAGTAGAGTGCTATTAGCTAGCTAGCTAGAGTACCGTACCGGTGCATTTTGGGGTTGGCTACTCAATATATAGTTTTGTTTGGCTGTCAGCGTCCTCCCGCCTGGATCTGTGAGTGACGGTCACAAGGCTGCTTTGCGGACTGACTATTTGGTACCAAGTCTTCTTGTACCCAAACCTTGATGCAACCATCGAGATCTCGAGGCTTGCCAAGGTGGTATTGATCGATCAGGAAGGAGAGAGACGTAGGGAAGTGGTCCTGCCATGACGCTCAAAAGGCACAAGATCGACCTGCTTTCGGCGTTTCAGCCAAAGCAGAAGAACCTTGTCAACTCGTTCCTACCCAGTGGTGCCCGTGGTATCGATGCCGGAAACATCAACTCAAGTGTCAACCTCCCGGTTGCAGGTCCATTGCCAGGAGTCTCAATGGACAATGGAGGCATTTTGCCACATGTAAAGGACAAGACGGACCATTTGGCACCTCTTTACGATCAAAGTAAGAGGCATGATACGAAACAAGAAGTTGGAAGTTCGCCTCGTCCACATCGAAAGATTGACGTTCCTGAAAAACCAGATAAGAAGCATAGGCACGGGCACAAGAAGAAGAACAAAAAGTCAAGGATATATGATGATCCAGCTGTGGTTGCCGGCTATACCTCTGTTCCACTGCTAGACTCTGTCTCTCTCCCTCGGGGTGGGTTAACCATCGAGACGAAGGCAGTAGGAAGAATCCAGTTTGGAATCCCTCCCGAGACGATCAAGGACAGCATGCGGTTGGGACTAGACATTCCCAATATCTACATCGTACCAGTTGAACGGTTCTGTAGAGAAATGGGTCCTGCCTTGGGGATCAATTTGGCAGAATTCGAGTTTCCCGGGTACTTTAACTATTTTGTGAGGGGAAGAAAGGTAACCTTGGTGGTTGATTCCGATGAGGCTGAGACAAACATTCGAAATGTTTTCGGGGAAACACTCTTGGGACCTGCTCAGTTTCGAAATCATGAGTATCCTAAAGCCAATGAAGATGAGGATTTTGATCCAATCTTTCCAGAAGATCAAAGACCCAACTTCTACCGAGAATTCTATCACTTTCGCACTGCGGAAAAGTCTACTGACTACAAAGAACTCAACATTGATACCTTGATTGGCTTTGTGCACTTCCAGCCCAATCAGGAAGACAGGGATAACATCAAATCCACGAATACTAGAATTGGACTCCCTCCCGTCAAAGAGAAATTCGAAGCTTCTCGGCGGCTGTCGGCAACAGGAAAAACCGTTCGAATTGCCGATGGCAAGGATGACCACTCCGATCCAGGTGCAGGCGCGGGCGCCAATAAGCGTCGGTCCATTTCGGTCAATGATCTCGAGGCCTTGTCCCTTCACGGCATGGAAGGTTCTTCTTCCAAAATGCGGGCACAGCGCAGAGGCAGCACCGAAAGCTCTTCATCTCTCATGAGCTCCTCTTCCTATGATGCTAGCAGCTCCTGGACAGATGCGGCTTCGGTGCAGGCAGATGAATCAGGCACTCCTCGCACTACCTGGATGTTTTCCCAAGTCAGGTGGCTAGGTCAGTGGTTCTCGTTTCACATGTCGTGCAATACCTGTTGATTGTTTAGTTCTTTTTGCAAGCAGGACAGTGAAAAAGTCATTCTCTCACCCTTGTCATGTCCCCGCAGGCGATATCGCGACGGTATATCCTCCTGATGTAACTCCGGAACAACGTAGGACTAACAAAACCAAGCGTGTTGAAATATTCAAAATGCCAGGAGGGACAGAGTATGTAATCCACGACGTCAACGACGATGGAGTCATTGTTGGTAAAGCTCGGTTTAGTGGGACTGTGAAAGTGCCCGATGAAATTGCTGTGGAAGGGTTTATGGTTCCTGGTGATGCAATGGATGATGCAGCTTCAGGCACTCCCTCAGACATTGAAATTGGCGCAACGATCGAAACAAAGTCATACGACTGTGCTTCTACTACAGACCTGTTCACCATTCCAAGGGCCGTCATACCTCCCACTTTTCACCCTCCTTCTTTCGGACTTACCGTGCTGGGTAATTCGCACGGTTTCGACAAGAATGGATCCACAAGTGGCTACGTGTTGTGGATCAATGGCCGTGGCATAATGATTGATCCACCGCCTTACTCCTCTTCCACTCTAGAACGAGAGGGGATTCGCCCACAGATGATTGTTGCCATCATCATCACCCACTGTCATGCCGACCACGACGCGGGAGCCTTCCAGAAAGTCCTCACTGGTTCGAGAGTTGCCATTATAACAACCCCAACAATCTACAAGAGTTTCATCCGAAAATATGCCGCGCTGTCTGGGCTCAGCCAAACCCTTCTCCGTCACAGTCATAGACACAGACCCGCCATCATTGGTCAAGCTCTCAAGTTCCAGGGTGCCAAATTTCACTTTTCGTACACCCTCCACACAATCCCCTGTATCGCCTTCAAAGTTGAGTGGCGAGGTCGATCGATGGTTTTCACCGGAGATCACCTGAACAGCCCACCGCTGATAGCCAAGCTGGAGGAAAAGGTTCGTTTTGTTGCGCTGTATCGTTTTTGTCTTGTCCGTAAGCGGTGCCGCTCACAGTTAGTTGTTGGTTGGCAGGGTGTGCTCACAAAAGGTCGCGCAGACAGTCTTCGGCAGATTCCGTTGCAAGAATGTGACCTTCTTCTCCATGAAGCAGGTGCACCGCCCATCCATACTCCAATATCTGTGCTGCAGGAGCTACCCGAGAAAGTGAGGGAAAGGCTATACATTGTTCATACGTCAGCCTTGCCACCGGATTGCGGACTAAAGGTTGCTCCAACCGGGACAGCTGGAACAATTCGCTTGGATCAGAAACGTAGAGGTGGGCAAGTCACTCTGGGCAATGAGATAGCCGAGATTGGAACTTCGCAAACGTCAGCTGTGTCAGCGTCGATTGGTAGCAGTGCCAAGAGCCATCATGGGTCGGCTGCTTTTGACACTGCAAGCCTCGATGATGGCGGGCACCCCAGTCTGACGGTGACTGGCGCGTACAGCAGCCCCACTTTGGCAGACGCATCACGATTCCGTGGCCCAGGCGGGATGAAGCTACCTCCGCTTGTTTTTCTCCGCCCAACTTGTGTTTCGGATGCTTGGTTCATTCTGAACCTTCTCTCGGCCGTTCCATTCTTTTCAAGGTAATCCCGTGTTGCGTTGGAGATGGACCTTTTGTGCTTGGCTGGTTGCTGACATCTATGACACTCGTGATTGCAGTCTTTCTTATGTGAACACCATGGAGGTCCTGGAGATAGCGCACGTGACTCTGTTTTGCGCTGAAGAAGTTGTGGTACCAGCCGATAAGAGGTTCGAGCTTCTCTGCGTGGTATGGGAAGGGACATTAGTTGAGCGCGACTGTTCCAATGGAGAACGTATGCTGGAGGACCAAAGTGACGCAAATAGCGAAATTTCCAGTGATCTGGAGAATGGATCTGTTGACCGGAAGGACAGTTTGACTGTGTGGCACGCAGGTGATTGGACTGGACCAGTAGCGTTGCAACCAGACTTCGATCGTTCTGCTGACAAGAGCACCACGGAAAGACCTAGGGATGTGGTTGCAGTATCGCAAGAAGGCGTGAAGGTAAGTCATTTGAATAGCTTTTTTGGCCGATGATTTTTGAAGATGACGTGTAGTTCAAACGTTTCATTCTCTGGACAGGTGATCACATTGTTGATGAAGGATCTGAACAAGATATTGAAGCGAGGCTCCAGGCTTTATCGAAAGTATCAAGCCGTCTGCGAAAAACAGGTTGCAGAAGAAAACCTGCTGAAAGCCACAGTGAAGGGAGGAAAGGGCAAACGAGAGACGGAGGAATTGGAAAGGACCAGGAAGTTGCGCGGTGACAATTTACTGGAAGTGCTCAATTTCAATTCCGCTCTGGGCAAGCTGACGGCGTTTCAGAAACGTCACCTTGAGTCCATTGCTGAGGGGCCAAGATATTTCGAGGAGGGATCGTCTTTGTGGTCAATTGGAGACAGTGTTGACTTTGCTTTTCTAATTGTCACTGGAACTGCTTTGTTTGGCCACAAGAGCGCCGATGACGACCACAATAGCAGTGGTCGAAGGAACTCGTTCGAGGGGGTTGTTAGTCGTCGAGGGTCGTCGGAGTTTTCAATTGACGGGAGACGAGTAGAGGAAGACAAGTGTCTGGCTGTTCCACCCAACAGCGAATATGCACGCCTTGAGACGGCCCTGCAACACAGAGTCAGCAAAATGGACAACGATGTGTATGACCACCCAAGGGATATGCTTCCCAGGGAGGAGCTAGCACAGAACGCTCGCGATCGATTTGCCAACAAGGTCATGGCCAGGCTCTACTCTCGTCGAGCGTACACATCAGGATTGATCTTCAGTCGGGGGCATTTCTTGTCCGACATTTCTCGGATGGTGAGTGGGGACCTATCTTTGGATGAAAAGATGAACAGGGGTCATTGCCATTCATCCAATATGATTGCCGGGCGCAACGGATGTGTGGCGATGGTGTTTCAACGATCTACTCTTGTGCCATTTCTGGAAGGGAATCCAGGAGTTTTGCTCATTCTGTTGGGGACACACGCAGTTGTGTAGACTGTGAAAGCTGTTCATTTTGTGGGAGAAAGCGTGAGGACGGAGACTGTGCTGCAATGTCGTCACGAACGACGAACGAGTTCATGTACGGTAGCGTTCAAGCACAGCCGTCTGCTCATGTTGCCCCGATTGTGCTACAACTGTAGTTTCTAGATAATACTATATGGCGTGCTACATACCGTACGGTAGCTATATCTGTTGTGTTGATGTGTGTTACGGGTACGTGTAATAGGTCGAGCTTCTTGAGGTCTCGAGGATTGTCATTGCTTTGAATTAACTTGAAGCCTTGAGGTGCAGTTCTGCTGTGACTGCAGGCAGCATCGCCCAGACTTATTGTTTTCATGACCACCCAACTAAATAGAGAAACAAATTATAAATTATATGGATGGTCCTACCTACATGCTACATGTACAGCACAATTGCAGCAACATGTTGTGAAGAGCTGGGCTGGAGCTATCTAGCTGGCTACATGTATACCGGTAGAGACCGAATAAACTTTCACCTCCAAAGCTATCGGTTACCGGTCTGGTGCCTGTTTTTTAAAAATTGGGCAATGTTGGAACCTCGTTCCGGGTTGCTAGATAGCTGCAACAAAGCTACCGGCTACCGGTACACATGTAGTTGTTTTTACCCGGAACTCAGGTTTCATGCCTTTTTAGAGTTCCTTCCCAGCTGGCTATATCGTAGCTAGCTAGCCATCTGGCCAATGGCCAAGCTGCACCAGCTATCAATCGGAATGGTACCATACCGATCAGTTATTAGATCTAACTAGTTCAGCTGAATTTCAAGAAACATCTTCAGCAAAAATAGCCTCGCACCACCCTGCGCTGGAGGAAACAACTTACCCCAATTAATTGTTGCCTTGCTTGCCTTGCCTAAATTGGTTGGGAGAACATTCCGATAAAAGGAGCTCTAGATGTCGAAATTTCTTATAACGGATAGTACGGATTCGAGAAGAACTGTCTTTCTCCATTCTCCAGGGCGGAAGCGGATTGCGGCACCTCGGCGGCACCCGGAAAGGAATTTCTCCAGCGATTTACTTAAAGGACACATTTGTTTTCAAGGTTAGAGTTAAGCGTTTTGCAGGGACCAGTTCGGGACCATTCGGATCCCTCCTCTTCACGACGTAGAAACCTGGCAAGCTACTAGACTATTTTAAAATAATATTCATTCTACATTGAAGGAAAATCTCTAGCCTCGCACCGCCCTGCGCTGGGAGCTGGCTTTGCCAATTTTGCTCCTTTATCTACCTGTCAAAATTTCTTAAGGAGCCAATTTTTAAAATTTAGTCGGTATGAAACGACTTATTCGATCATGCGGAGTTGCATGCTTCTGCCAACAACAGAGTTCATCGTCACCGCCTTGTCGTCTTATGTGCTTTTCTGCATGCTTTTATTGGCGTCGACCACCATATTGTAGTAGCACCCTTGTGACATACGAGTAGTGCTTGAGGTCAAAGGCCTTTGTCTGGTGGTGGTGGCTGGTCGTTCCGAGTTCAAAGGGCATTTCTTTGCACGACACAAGAGAATAATGAGGGCACCTCTTCGTCGTTGCGGCTCCTTCTTGTCGGTGAGATGGTCCTGGTGTCGGCTGCTGTTTGTCATTTGTGCAGTTGTGTCACTGACCATGATGCCGACAGTAGAGGCGGTGGACGACGATGAAATAGTCGTGGAGGCCGACCCCTTCTTGCTGCGTCTACAACCGAAACCAAAGGACTTTTCTCTACAAATGAAAGTTACGGTTCTTTGGACTGTCGAGAACATAGTTCGCCAGTACTTTGAAGATATGTACGGAGACTCGGATGAAACGCTGTTCATCGGGGCGGGGATTACTGGCTTGAGTGTCATAAACGAAGATGAAGAAGCATTTGAAACAATCAAGTTTTTAGGGGGAGCTGTTGCGTTTCATCCTTCATCCCCTCTCCTCCCCAACTCAACGGCTGTTCAAAGCTCGATCCGAGACGCTCTGCAAGAGAGTGTCGTCCTTGAAAAGCTTGGGATTTACTTTCCCTCTGTAACTAAGGTTGATTACGTACCGTTAGTTCTTGGAAATCGTGGAAACTTCGGGTACGGTGTACCCGACGAGGAAGATTCCCTCAGCAGCAACGACAATTCCCTTGACGACTCTGCTAGCGAGAAACCCGTACCGCCAAAGCCACTGCCTGAAGTTACCCGTAGCAGCCTTGATGATGAAGAAGACGAAGATGAAAGAGGCATTACCACCGAAGAAAACCAGATCGCAGAAGCGCAGACGACCTCGCAAACCTATAGTGCAGGAAACTCAAAGAAAACTACTATTGGTTTGTCAACTGGGGTGGCCCTTGGAGGTGCCATCATTGTGCTTCTGATTGCATTGCTGTTTGAAAGTCGACGGCGTAGAATGGACAATTGGAGAGAGTCGGGTCGGGATAGCCCTCCATCTCAGGAAGACAAGGCCGGAAAGGAAAAGCCGGCAAGCTCGATGGCTCCCAGGTACTACATCGAAGACGACTCAGAAGGAGCTTTGCGGCTACCTCGCATCTGGGGTGTGTCTCCATCACAACGGATGGATTCTGGAACGACCCCAGGATCGTCGGATGTGTCCAACGAAGGTGATTCCGTTCAGGATATCTTAACGTGCACTAGCATGGATCGACGCTCCATACAGAACGTCGAGAGCTTTGAGCACCAAAAACGACTCGTTGACACTCTCAAGAAAGAAATGATGGCCAGCAATGCAGAAGTCCACCCGTATATGCAAGATACCCATCTTGACAATACTGAGCCATGCGCCCTTTCACCCACCGACCTCTCGGCAGCTGCGCTCGAGAACACAACGCCTTCGCGGCCGGTACCAAACTGGACTTCCCCATCTGACAGCAGCTTTACTGGCAGTGGATCAGGCTATGATTCACCATCATCGCCGCTACGTGCCATAATGGGCTCTCTACGAATGTCATCAAGACAAAAGACGTCTTCATCAAGAAGATCCCGCCGTCCTTTCCAGGAACCGGCAGCTGTCGAGCTGTAAACTAGTTCTATTGTATAAGCACATGCAATTGTAATATCCAAAATCTCGCGTATTTTTGTTGCTTAAAGTTGAATCGAATCAAAGTCTAGCAGCTAGCACAGTCTCTTCTATGGTACGACTGTTCAGGGGCTACATGTACGGTACCAGTACTCTTACAAGGTAGCTGCATGGGAGGCCTTTTCTTGTTGTTTTTCGTGCGTCCACCATACGGTAGGTATGCGATATGACTCGACTCGGATACCTGTACAGCGCAGTCGTCGCGAGCTGCTTCCACAGCTGCCATTGACGCTGCTCCAGGCAGGCGATTTTGGCTCCAGCTATAGCTCGACTGATTGATGAGAGGATGATATACGATTTAAGAGTGACTAATTTAGATCTCATTAATAATTTACTCTGAGCTTTGTCTGTTGATTCGTTCTGTGGTGACTCGATTAGCTAGCTAGTAGTTGGACTCGACTATTTCGTCTAACTGACTCATCAGTGGTGGCCGGGCTATCTTTTCTAATCCACTTGTAAAAAACCTGGCCTTGTGCCTGCAGGCACCGAAGATTTTGTTGCATGAGTTGATGAGGAAGTGGGGAGTTTCTATGGAGGCCGCTTTTTGGGTTTTTAGTAGTTGCTCTATTGAAAAGGCTGCAGTTGTGGGTCCCAGAGGTTTTGGCTGCACTAAAAAGGTTGCCTTGACTTAGGCCTTAGAATCTCATTGGAAGTGCTGTTCCTTTGGAGAGCTGGGTTGACTTGGTTGAAGTAGTGGGGCAAAGTGTCTAGCTAGCTAGTGTAGGCTAGGAGTCGGATTTGGATCCCCATAGTGCATGTTTGTTTGGCATCATAGAATTAGCATTCCTTTCTCGTGGATATGTTGGGTTTGTCCGTGGATGTACGTTACCGGTACTGGTACTACGTTTCTGCAACAGTAGCTGCACACCCTCAGTATGTGCTTCCCACTACTACTATGTGGATCTTACATACCCTCAGGATCAATGACAGTATGCTACGTAGAAACTCATTGGTATCAGCAGTCATTGAAACAAAGATCCTCTCAATAAGACTCTCACTATTAAATAAACTGCAACAAGGAAGATATAACAGGGGCGCCTGCATACATAGAACCAATCCACATACTGAGAGGATTCCAGTAATCGCTTAAGTAACACCAAACATCCCGTACCATTCCAATGAGATCCAATCGTTCCGATCCAACCGTTGCGGAAAGATACTCTCAAGCAGCCACCGTACGATCCCTACCGGTAGGTTCGAGCATACTCAAAGCAATCCCGTGCCGCAAAGTCAGAGGCAAAAAAGAATCCTGTGCCATAAAGAGGCAAACAACGGGCAAATCCCACCCCATCGGATCGATCGTCTCCGTACGGCTAGCTACCGGTAGGTAGCAGTTCAGTTCAGTTCAGTTCAGTTCAGTTCAGTTCAGTTCAGTTCAGTTCAGTTCAGTTTTCAGTTCAGTTTTCCTCATTATTTTCAATCCTTCAACTCTATAAAGGAACTCTGCCGAAATTACAACTCATCCAACCAACAATTGCTTAGTTGACCAAACAATTCCTCTACCATGGCCAACAATGCCAATGATGGAGCCTTTGGGTTGGAAGACGTGCCGGATTTGCCTGAAGCACCCATGGAACAGCCCAAGTACAATCGGGATTACCATGGACTCTTCCTCAAATTCATGAGCTGGCTGCACAAGAGGACGTACACCAAGGCGGCTCGCTTCCAACCCAGTGCTTTGGGCGGCATCCAACCACATCACGTTGCCGACTACTTGAAATGCGTGCGTATGGTACGACGGACGTTGACTACAAAGATCTTGAGCAGAATCCAACTTGCCGTTCCTCTACTCTTGAGCAAGACAAGAAGGCTATCTCGTTCTACATGCCCATCAAAGGTACCACATGGAATGGAACCTCCGGCAATCCAACCAAGTCCGATCCTGTGAACGAAGTGGTCAAGGAAGTCAAGAAAGCGGAGACTCAACACCGCGGCAAGAAGTCCTGTGCCAACAGGGATTTGACGGAAACAGAGTATCGCAAGGTGGTCCATGAACTCTACGACAAAGGGAGCTTTGAAGAGACCATCCGTACAGCCTGCATGCTGAAGCAGCAAGTCCATCTCATCACCGGGACGGATGACATCTCTAAGTTGAAGTATTCCGACTACAAGCTGCATCCAGACTTCCCTTTTGCGCTCAGTTGCAAGGTGCATTGGTTCAAGAATATTTCGGAAGAACAACAATGCCCTGATCAAATCATTCTTGGATTGTTGGATACCGACTTTTGTGCTATGCTCGGATTGGCGAATTACATGGAGGCGTCCTTCAACTACGGGTATGGCGCCGCTGGTCGGGAAAATGCATTCCTCTTTACTCCCGAAAGCGATCCCAAGTTGGCTCCCAAACACTGCAACGCTGCTAACGAGGCGTTTTCTCCCACGACTCAGAAGACCAGTGACTCACCCCAGTCGGAGGTCAAGGGATAGAGTTCATGAATACCGGAAGAGCGAGCATAGTCTGCGCAGCATATTCCACACTGTGGTCCACGATGGATGCACTGTGGTCCCATTTCGCACTCATGTCTCGATCCTACCCGAGTCAAATAGGCGCCATGTTTGAACCAAAAGCCGATGCCGGCTTGCGCTGTTCCATTTCTATCAGTCCGAACCTTGACAACGAAACCCAATAGACTTGATAGATCGTAATGCTCATAATATTCTTTTTTACTGTTTGCCATTGCACGTCTTCCAAAGGTCCAGTCGAAGCTAACCACGCTACGACGCCAACCCAAGGAAGGGAGATTATCACTTACGAAATAGGATTTCAGCAGATTAACAGTCGCAGTTACGTCCCTACGCAACTGCACAATCATGTCCGCCGCTGCCCGTCGAACCGCTGATCGCGACAAGCTCAAGCATGTCGTGACCATCATGCTCAACAATGACGAAACCAACCGGGAAACTCACAATGTCATGCTTGCCCTCACTCGCTTTGGAGTCGATACTTTCTCGGACCTCATGATGATTATTCAATCTCTGCTTCGGCGGATACAGGAGCTCGTGTTGTGAGCCACGGGACCACTTCTGCTGATGGATCCCATCGTCTGATGCGGAATCGTTGGAAGTTAGTGAAACTGATTGACGTGATGTTGATGGATTTGGTTTGCTCTCGACAGAAGTGATGAAAGCAGCAAATCGCAGCAAGGAGTTTTCGCCGTTGACTGGATCGCGAGAGGGTGTCCGGTCAACGGTTGCCAGCGGCTGGGAACGCACGAGAGACTCAATGTCTTTGCATTCC